ACGTGCACGCGTATGAACGACAAACGAGAAGACTGAAATAAAAAAAAAAAAAAAAATGTGAAATTGTAGCATCTGTTCAACGATGCTAGACAGATGCTAGCTCGATTTCGAACCTATGCTGCGTACCTTCGGCCATTTCTCGTTTATATTATACTTCTCTAAAATTAGAAGTATAACTCAAGTTCAAACGAAGCGTGAAACAATTCTTGTTAATGTACACGAGAGAGACTCTCTTCCATCATGTTCCACGTTGAACACTCGAGAGGCGTTATAAATCCTTTTTGTTTGCCAAACCGAGCGTAAGATTGAAACGCAAATACTCGAGGATCGCAGCAAGGCTAACGAATTGTTACTCCTAACTACTGACAATCAGGCAAGAAGGCAAGTTGTTTGCTTTCTTCGAGAATGTTGCGATTTTTGCCGCAACAAAGATTTTCATCGGTTGGACGCAGCATGCCCCGATGCTTACAAGCGTATCACTGCGTCGATAGAAAGTCTCGGTTTTTCAGTATTGGAACCGGCGTAGATAACGGCGAAGACAAAGGCGTGTTCAACGAGAAGCATGATGTACATATATCGCGTGTGGTTCATTGACACTGTGCCACGACCGAAAGAACTATGATAGCTTATTAATTACGTTCGCTGGTAATCGCTTCGCGAACACACAGGAGGGGATTGAACCTACTGGAAACGACTCTGATTGAAAGAAAAAAGAGGAGGAATGCAAGAAAGATAGATAGATGGAAAGAGAGAAAGATAAATATATATATATATATATATCTTGTTGGCTCGTGGATGAACCAGTTAGACAAGCTAGAGATATTTATCTAAGATATTTAGTCATTCGTGGATGGCCAGAGGACGGCTATCTACCTACGAATCGAGCTCGTATGTTTAGCAGAGTGATTGATTCTCGTCGGGCGCAACGAATGCGGTGGTCAAGGCGGCCAAGCTCGATCCAAAGTTGGACCCGACGAGCACCTGGTTATGGCTGGCTGGTTAATTCTCATGGCAGACCTAATGGAATACGCTATTGTTTGTCATGGCACCCAGCCGGCATGCCT